CCAAGCTGGCTGAAATGGTGATGGAACACCTTCTAACAAATCTAGACGCCCCCACACCAGGCTTTGATTCATCAGAAGTGGTTCGTGGTTGCAGGGTCTTCAAATGTGATGACCAGCTATCCAAAGTATTTCTTGGCAACTGCATTGCTAAGGTAAGTGATGCATAGGAAGGTTTAAGGCTAAAGCTTGTCCCAGCCAACGATATCCCTAGAAGACCAAGGGCCCGCATTTGGCTGCCAATTATGAAGATGGAGCATGAGAAAGTTCTCCAGCTGCTACAACGGCAGAACCAAAATGTGCCAATGAATGACTGGGTAGTCATCAAGGACGAGGGCACACAAAAAAACAATATGACGCTTCTTCTGGCGATAAACGAGGAATCCGTGAAGCCATTGGAAGAAATGGACTGTAAGCTGAGGTTTGGCGTACGGTACACCAAAATAAAAATATTCCGCCCAACAGGCAATGATGATGATGGCAAGGAGTTAGAGGATGCTAACAAATTGCTTGACGGTATGAAGCTTCAGGAAGAAGCTTCAGAAACCTCGTAAGCCTGCACGAATGCTGAAAGTAGCACAAATTAACCTTCAGCATTCGAAAATCGTCTCGGACAATCTCGCCATCTTTCTCATAGAGGAGTATGTCGATGTCAGCATTGTGCAAGAGCCATGTGTCAGAGGTAAGGATATCATGGGGCTAATGCTGAAAAATTATAACAATTTATATATTAGGAACAATGGTAAGCCAAGATCATGTATCCTAGTTAAAAAATGTATTAATGCCTTTTTATGTCCACAGTATAGCGATAAAGATCTAACAGTCGTAAGGATCGAAATGCCAGGTGGACAAAATTTTATTGTGGCTTCTGCCTACATGGCACATGATAGAGATGCTCCTCCGGAAGAGGTAGTCGCGCTAGTAAACAGAAGTACATCAAAAGATATTCCCACATTAATTGGATGTGACGCCAATGCGCGGCATACGCTTTGGGGCAGTTCGGAAACCAATGACAGGGGTGAGTACCTTTTTGATTTTATTAGCAATTCGAAACTTTTAATTTGCAATAGAGGTAAAACACCTACTTTCACTTTCCCCAGTTCACAAGGGTTTGAAGGATGGGAAGAAGTGCTAGATATAACACTCCTATTCGAAAATCCAGATATTGTAGTTAGTAATTGGAAGGTATCTGACAAGAAATCCTTTTCGGATCATAGTTGGATTCTCTTCAACTTAAAAATTAAACCAAATCATACCATCCCCTTTAGAAACCCGAAGAAGATAAAATGGGATATTTTTACAAGGGTAACTAAGGTGGAACTTAATAAAGTAAGACAAATTAAGATAGACTCTACTAGTAAGTTAGACGAGAGGATATATAATCTTGAGGCAGCTTTTAATATAGCTTACAAGAAATCTTGTCCAATAAGTAGAAGCAAAAAATCTTTTCCACCTTGGTGGAATTCAGAATTAAGTGATCTCAGGCAGAGAACACGAAAACAGTTTAACGAAAGCTATAAGGACAATAGTTGGAATGAATATAGGGAATGTCTTAAAACTTACAAGAAAGCTATCAGGAAGGCCAAAAGTAATGGCTGGAAGGAATTTTGTAAGTCAATTGAATCAACCTCATCCTCTGCTAGGCTCAGCAAGGTTCTATCCAAGGAAAGTGCAAATCCTTCTTATCTCAAAAAAGAGGACGGCACATGGACTGAAACCTCTGCTGAGACACTAAGACTACTATTAGACACTCATTTCCCAAACTGTAACGATGATGCTAGAGAAAACGGTTCAATCACCTTGGCAAGCACATCATCACAGATGACTGAAGATATAGTCACAGCGGAAAAAATTAGGTATTCAATTAACAGTTTCTGTCCCTATAAATCGCCAGGTTTGGACGGTATTTTCCCTATTATGTTGCAAAAACTACAAGACTTAGTGGTTCCATGGTTAGGGGAAATTTACAAAGCATGTCTTAAATATAGTTATGTACCACTTAGTTGGAGACAGGTTAAAGTAGTCTTTATACCCAAGGCAGGCAAAATCGGACATGAGTCCGCCAAAGATTACAGGCCGATTAGCCTAACTTCATTCTTACTAAAAACAATGGAGAGGGTAATAGAGCTCCACCTAAGACAAAAAGTAGAACGCTTTCCAATCTCTAAATCCCAGCATGCTTACCTCAAGGGTAGATCTACGGAAACAGCTCTGCATGAGGTCATTCGTACTGTGGAAAAATCGATTCATTTTAAGCAATACTCGTTGGCAACCTTCTTAGATATTGAAGGAGCTTTTAACAATGTAAGCAATAAAGCTATTCATGACTCTCTTTCCAGAATAGGTTTAGAGGAAGAGCTTAAAAATTGGATAGTTACTATGCTTAAAACAAGGATTATTCAATCAAAGCTAGGCAGCATAACACAAACGAAGCACGTCAGCAGGGGTACGCCACAAGGAGGGGTTATTTCACCATTACTGTGGCTGCTGGTCGTGGATAATATTCTTAATATTCTAGATAAGATAGGTGTGAAAGCAGTAGCGTACGCGGATGACGTGGTTATTCTAGTGTCAGGTATGTTCCCTAACATAATTAGCGACATTATGGAAAGGGCCTTGGTTAAGATAAATACCTGGGCCACAGGTTGTGGACTAGGTATTAACCCAGGAAAAACTGAAATGATGCTGTTTACTACTAAAACCAAAATACCAGCTTTCAGGTTGCCTTCACTAAACGGGCAACAGTTAAAACTATCGGAAAAAGCCAAATATCTAGGAATTCTGTTGGATAGTAAGTTAAACTGGAAACACAATGTCGATCTTCGTATCAACAAGGCATGTGTAGCTTTCTATTCTTGCAAGAGGATGTTTGGCAAAAAATGGGGGATTCGTCCCGAAATTACCCACTGGATGTACACGGCAAT